ATTATATATTTATTTATTTATCCCTTTATTATTTTTATAAATAACTCAAGGCAGCGAACATACCTAATACTTCTTCCTCCTCCTATTTCCCCCACAACAACAACCCTGTGAGGTGATTGACCCAAAGTCACCCAGCCAGCTTTCATGCCTAAAGTGGGACTAGAACTCACAATGTCCTGTTTTCTAGCCTGGTGTCTTAACCACTAGACCAAACTGGCTCTCTTTTTATTGTGTCCCTGACCCTCTAGTATTCAATTTATAGATATTACTTGTGAAATATCTTTGCTGCTGCTTTGGACATCTTGCATCCTATAAAATAATCTGAATTTATTCTGGACTTGTGAGCATAAACCTTTTATTGCTTATACCAGTGATCTTGTTTCTTCTCGCTTTTTCACCTCTGAAACTTCTAGCTCTTTTCATATCAATTCCTACCCCACAACTCTTTCTCCTTTAATAAACTCTTAATAACCATGTTGCTTTTCCTATCCAACCCCCCTCTTTTTCAATCTTAGGTAAGGAATGAACCTACAGAGGTTCAACAAGGGATCACTCTGAGATGCTTCCTGGTCTAAGTGGGAAGACTTCTGCTGTTCATTCGTCCCCTCCTTCCCTAATAAAGTATACAACTATAACTTAAGAATATTTTAAAGTCCTTATGCAAGTTAACGTTTTACACAGTATGCTAGATCTTTAACTGGTCAATATAAAGTTTGTTTTGTTATTTTCTCCCTTCTGCTCTCACTTCTGTTGGAATCCTCCTTCATCTATAACCTTCCTTTTGCAGCTGTACTGTATCTGCTTGATTTCATCTCCAAAATCATTCCTTTTGCTGGCATCAGAATTTTCTTCTTCAAGTCTCCCAGAGTTTCATTCATATCCTGGACTGTAAAAAATGCTCTCTACTTGTGGTTTCAAATTTAAGTTTAAATGGAAATCTCCTTTTATAACAAATTTCCATTTCTATCAATAGTTCTGTTAGAGGCTTGAGTGCAATTCTTTTTTGTAAAGTAAATTGATGTCTTGAAAAAAATAAGGCCTTGTCTCCTCCCCAGTTTATTTCTTTCAGCTCACAGGTTTCCTGAATAATTTTATCTAGTAGGTTTATTTGTAAACTTAATTACAGTATCTTGATTTTTTCACCTTTGCAAGTGTGGGGGTTGAACTCTATGTGCACGTACTACAGTACTGTATGTCCTTTTTAGACAAATGTAAACCTGGGAAGAGATAATTGTGCTTTGTTACTACATAATCTATCATGTTAATGTTCATAGCTTTTTCACTGATGCCTCTAATATGGAAGTTGCTTTGCCTGTTATGATCTTCAGCATCTGTCAGAGATATTTTAATGTCCATAATGTCTTCTTCAATCATTTTTATGCTAGAGGCATTTTAGTACTTAAATCAGAGGCTTGACTAGCTCTATGAGCAACATCTAATATTTTCCTTGATAAGTCTTTAAACAGTTTATTAATTCATTCAGACATTCTTACTAAATCTTCTTTACTGACATAAAGGATTTCTCCCATTCCAGTTCAGGTTCTGTTTAAATTCTTCAACTAAATGCTTGACAGAGTTAGAATTTTTTTTGCACCTTGGCCTCATCTTCCTCTTCTCCACTAGAGAAGGGCTGTTGGTTGTCTGTTTTTGGCTCTTTCATGTACATTTTGATCTCTTTCTTTTGTTGTGAAATGCCTCTCCTGGACATAGTGCATTTCTTAATGTCTTTAGAAGGCAATTCAGTGCAGATAAGCAGGTGATAATAATTAAATAGGGCAGGTTGAAGGACGAGCATGGCATTCAGCTATCTTCAACTGAGTCTGAGCTAAACCCACCCACCTCCTCCAGGGTCTTTTTAAGACCTTGAGAAACCTGGGGCAGAATGTTCATTGGATGAATTCCCCCTCCACACATTTTTCTCACTGCGTCCCCCTCAATGTAATTTTTTTCTTCATTACTTTTTATATATTGAAGTCAATATCCAAAAAATGGTGAGGGGGGAGACCTGAAATAATGCTTGCTGATGTATTTTAACTCAGTGATTTTTCAAACTTGGTAACTTTAATTCTGAGAGTTGAAAAACACTGTTTTAACTGATTAGCTTTGCTGCCTTGAATGAAACATCCATCTGAACATTTCAAATAGAGAATTAGATTTCAGGTGGACATCTCCATGCAAGGGGCCCAGGGCAAGTGCCTCCTTTGCCCTCTCTTTTAAAAAACTTGACCATCAAAGGAAATGGAATTACTATCCCTTTGGCTTACTATTTTTTAACCTGAACTTCCATATTCTGTCTCATATTTAATCTTTACACACACACTCCTCTGGAATAGCTGACCAGCCCACACACTGCCTTCCTCTCTTGCTTTCCACTGTCAAAGTAATGTGCATAGTTAGCGTGTCTTTTTCCTTTTCTTGCTCCTAAATCTTGTAATACACTTGGGAGATAAAGAAGGACTCAGGACCAAGCAATGAACGAGTAGGTTTTGAGTGGGCAAACGGTTGGAAAGTAAGATTCTCAAATCAGTTGCTGGCCTCCGCTAGACAATGGTTTTAACTGATAAAAAGAGAACAGAATTTTATGGAATATGTAGTTCCATCTGAAATTCAGTTTGCCTTGAGACTTGGCATCTGTACAGTTCAGGACAGAGAAACAGTGTAGTGTAGTGGTTAAAATGTTAGACTGGAAAGACTCAGATTCAGGTTCCTACTAGATCATGCAGTTCAGCAAATGCCTGTGGACCAATCATTCTCTTTCAGCCCAACCTGCCTCATCGGGTTGTGGAAATAATCTAGAACCCTTCCATTTAAGCCACCTCAGAGAAAATGCCTGTTATGAATCTAAAGATCAATCAACTGTCACTATTTCCCTGTCCATGGGGGAATTGGAGGGAGGGGCAGTGGGTCCATTGGACAAAGCTGGGTCAATGAGACATCCAGCAAGAGTGATCTCTAACGAACTGATGGGGAACCTGTAGCATTCTGGCAGTTGCTAAACCATAAACCTTAGTGACTCTAGGGAGCCTGGCCAATAGTGAGGATTGCTGGAAATTATAGTTCAACAATATCTGGAGGCCTACAGGGATTCCCTACCCATGCTGTTGAGGTTGTATAATGGTATGTGAGAATGACTTTGGGAGATAGGGGAAAAGATGCTGCCTAGGGAATGATCAGATAAGAGGGGGCATAGCCTGCAGCTTCATAATGGGCAGAGAAAGAAATTCAGAAAGGAACTTCTCTAACTTATCAGGCTGTAAAAGAGATGGTGGGAAATTTGTACTTTCAGACTTGCAAGATTCTGTTAATGTAGCCTTACAATAAAGTAGAATTAGCTCATCTGGCTGTGGTTCCTCTCTGGACTACCTGGGGAGGCTGACAGGTTGAGTATAAGTGTGGCTGAAGAAGAAGTCACTGAAGCAGGAAAGGATGTCTTCTGAAATCTACTCTTGTTCTGTTCGAAGAGATGGTTATGCCTGTATAGATTTGTGCCTCTTTTGTGGTTAGTTCCTTAAAACAAACCTGTTCCATTGGCAGTTTTCATAAGTATGGGAGATTCTCCTCGGCCACCAAACTGGTCTCCTTGTGTAACCAAGGCTTCCATCACTACATCATGTCCATACAGCACCACAGCTGGTGTAGAGCCCAAGTAGATGGTGAATACTGGTCCATACTTCTCACTTAGCTGTAGAGGAGAAACCATAAGCTATGGCATGACAGTTTCACTTGGCCATAGTAAGAGTAAGGTTGTTCTTAAGAACTGAGGGCTATCATGCACATACAGCTTTTCTAGATCTTTGAAGACCACAGGTAGCTTTCTCTTGTTTGAGCTATTCATACAAGACTGCTAATGCATTCTTCAGTCAGACAGCTGAATTAAGCCCTTTCATTTTCAGTGGTCCATGGTAGACTAATGCTGGATACATGGCAACCTCTTCTTTTGGCCATCAGTAGGGAGCACATCCTGCTCTTTATTCTATAGGATTTTAAAAGATCTAATTACTGTGTGATTCAAAAGACCAGGCCCCCACCAGAGCTGTTGCCAGTCATAAGAATTTATAGATCTTTCAAAATGTAGCTATGTAGAAGTAGAATGTGCTCTTGGTTGAGATCCACAGGATCAAGATCATAAATCTTACCATGATTTGTCCCTTTTGGAACAGTTGGTAGGGTGAGATGCTTTGAACTGCCATCTCCCTAATTTCTGCTCAGCTGGGGGCCTCTCTCCCTTCTCCATGAGGACCAACTATGAGGAAAGATAGCAGGACCATTGCTTGGGGGATTTGCAGTGATTTCATTTGGGCCTCATCCTCACATCATCAGAGCTGGCCATTAGAATAGGGATGGGCAACCTTTGGTCCTAACTTTCAAACTTGGTCTACAAGAGATTAATTCAGACCTGCTGATAAGAACTTCCTGCAGCCCACTAATTTAGGAGTGAGAGGTATCAGCAAGAGGGGGAGAAGAGATGGGGATCAGAAGGAGAAAAACTATATCCAAACGATTAAATGGTATCCTCACATACTTTTGGTTCTGGCCTCATAACCCTGCTTCTTTCAGTCTTACCCACCCAATGGTCCCAAACTTGTTACCTCTTGCACCTCTTGACTGAAAAAGTTTGTGTACTCCTGTGTTACAGGAAGAATTGTGCCTGAGTTGTCTTGTCTTTATCATGTCTTTTTAGATTTCAAACCTGTATGAAGCGACTATTAATTTGCTGTAACCATTTAAGTCACTCTGAGAACTTCCTAAAAGGGGAACTTTTGATCTCCAGCCACATTCCTATGGGATCAATCTGTAAGTGCTACATGTAGGCAATGAACAGGGCTTCATCCAAAGTGAGACTATCCCCCAGTTTTCTTTCCTCCATCCCGTTTCCATCTTCTTGTCCCTGTCTGCAGTTATAATGCATTCCCTTGAACTATATGGTTGGAAAGGGCTGGAAGAGGCCACATTTGCACTCTAACATTTCAAATTGTACTCTAACATTTCAAATTGTACTAACAGAAGAGAGTATCTGTAGCTCAGGGTTGAACTGTGGAGTCCTTGGGGTTCTCTGAGCTTGGTTGTTTTCTTGAAGACATTTCATTACCTGGTTAGATAACTTCTTCAGTGCTAGAAGGGAGTGGGGTTTGCTGTCTGTTTATATACAGTAGCTTGCCCTCTTAGTGTTAGTGGGTGTCTTGTTTTTTCATTGGTAGTTCCTTGATTAGGCTGTTGTTTACTGC